TGCATCGCAGACCAAGTTCAAAAAGAATAAATTGAGGATTTTTATAACTCACCTGTATTGACATTATGCCTGATGATTCTACAGACTCCTCCAACCATTCCTGGGCAGGAATTTAGGTCAGGTTTATAAAAGGTACTGAAGTGAAGGAGCTCTATGATTATTTGGCCTCACTGTCCAGAGAAACAGCTCATGGCTATCTTGCAGCAATAACTTCAGCCTTGGACAGATTAGAAATACTGTTTAGAGAAAGAGGGATTGTGGTACTAAGAACATAGGATTTAAGAAATATAATTTGCTGTAACAGAGGTGCTGTTTTCAAGTTTAAGACTAGGTAAAAAGTCTATTCCCTGTACTTAGCAATGGTCGCAATGAAATACTGAAACATACTTAGGTGGGAGTCAAATTTCTATGAATCTCAACTATTTGAGCCCTGGTGGCACAGTGGTTAACTGTTCAGCTGCTAACCAAAAGGTTGGCAATTCAAATCCACCAGCCGCTCCTTGGAAACCCTATGGGGCAGTTCTACTGTGTCCTATAAGGTCGCTATGAGTTGGATTCGACTCGACAGCAACGGGTTTGGGTTTTTTGGTTTTTCGGCTACTTATATAGAGGTATAAATTTGAAAGGTAAGCATTAATGAAGACAGCCATCACAAACCCATGCAAAGTCCACAATGCCACTGGAGAAACACACTGTGCTTCAGGAAGGGGAAAAAAAGCCTCCTAGAACCAAATAATTTAAACTATAAGTAAATTAAAACAGCCACTGAGCAGATGAGATAAATTACATGCAATAAAAGTTCGTGCACTTCACTCAGAAGAACCTATTTACTCTTCTTTTACATTTATAACCTACTGCTAAACTAGATACAGTTCCCTCAAGCATACTGTTTCCTATAGCAAGGAAGCAAAGAAGGAAATTAAAAGTTGGGGCACCTGAACTCAGGCTCACTGACAAGGCACACTGACAGCACCCAGAGCAGCAGCCAAGAACATGACAAGGGAGAAGAAAATTACTTTCAAAAACAGATGTAAGAACGCAAAAGACAAAGCAAAATGGAGCCTTAAGTGTAGGGGTAAAACAACTACCCCATCAGTGGTCTCTGAGAATGTCACAGTATCAAGTGTGTGTGTGCACAATACAATGGACAAAATCCTTGTCGTAGACCTGTGTTCTGCTTCTGCTGCTTAATAGAGAGCCATTCAACCTCTTCTGAGCCTCGTCTTTATCTTTGATATCAGGAAAACACCTCCTTACCCTACCTACAAGACAAAGGTGCCATGAAGAGCTGATAAAATAACTTACGCAAAAATGCTCTGAAAACTGTAACACACTATACAATACCTAATACTAAGAACATAGTAAATCATGTTCTCTATACTCAGTTTAAGAAAGCAAGGAAATGTGTAATAAATTTGAATCAATTTCCCTTTAAATGGCTAAATAAAAAATTAACACTTCTTTTAATGAAGAAAATTAACTTACAAGGTAACATTTATCCCCTCCCCAAAAATGCCTCATCTTTTTTTTTAATTCAACTATTAGCAAAAAAAAAGAAAAAGAGAAAGAGCTTTCAGGCAAGAGAACAATTTTAACTACCCTTTGGAAACCAGACAGGTTATACAGCATTTTCTTCCAACGGGAAAGACTTTCAAAATGAGAAAAGATTAAATATTTTTAAACGAATACCCGTATCTAAAAATACAACATTAAATAAAGTATTTCAGGGTTAGAATATAGGGTAGTATTTTTCTAACTGTAATCATTAGTGGATTATGAAATCAATCTAGTGGGCCACTACCAGCACTTTTTAAGAAAATAGGATAGAAAATATTATAGAGCGTTAAATTTAATAAAAGCTTTATTTTTGTGGAATTTTGTTTTATTTAAAACTTGTTAGTACCCTGTGCACATGTACACGAGTGCTGGGTCACAACAGAAATGTATTTCTTATGTGGGGTTGTGGTCAAAAAAGCCTGAAAGTCATTGGTAAGAAAACCAATAAGTAGGCATTCAGCCTTCTAGATGGAGCTAAGACTACACAGAAAAAATTCAAAAGTAGCTAGTACTCAAGAGGGACCAAGAGATAATAAGGAAGCAATGAAATTACAACTGAGATGAGCTTTTTCTATAAGTCATGGGACATCAGTCCTCAAAGGAGGAGAAAGACAACAGCATTCATTCTAGGAATAAAAAAGGCAAATATAGAAAGCCAAGTGTTAAGAAAAGCACTGTATTAGAACTTAGGAGATGTCACCCCTGTCAGGCCCTTGTCCTTTAGTCCTTAGTTTTCTCATCTGTAAAGTCAAGGGAATCAGGCTAGAAGAGAAATTTTAAGATCCTATCCAATCTTAACATTCTCTGGTTCTGCTAAACAGAGTCCATAGTAAGTCAGGACATGAGTACTTGGTATGTAATAAGAGCTTTTGTTTTTAATAATTAAAATTGTACCTTTTAATAGGAAAATTAAATAACATCTTCTTAATGAACATTTTTATAGAAAAATCAAAGCTTACTGACTTGTCATTTTTCTGCATTTCTCAGTTTTCCATACCAAAAAGTCTAACTGACTAAATCAAAATTACGTTTAGACAAACATGTTACTCTTCACCTGGTGGCAACCATGAAAAACACATGAAAAGTGCCTTGAGGGAGTTATGTAACTTCCATACAGCTTTCTTGGTACCATGAGCCATTTAAAAGCAAAACAAAAAACATCCACAATGTCCAATGAGATACACTTAAACTGTTAAACTCAACTGCTATCAGTAGTATATTTTATAGATTAAAAGATTAGATATTCCTAAAATTTCCTTTTGTCTTTTTCCATAGAAGGGTCAATCATTCTAGCCTAAGCACTTATTTTCTAGCTAAAACCACCAATTGCTTCCTTTATGTTTTTATGATTACATCAATTTCTTTGGCTGGACTTGGCTGCTTGTCCCAGTCTGTGTATACCTTAGCCTGCTGCTGAGAGCTGGCTTTCTCCTTACTGCTGGTAAACTTTTCCTTGGTCTGTGTCCATTTCCTTATGCTTAAAACCTGTATCTGCAAGAATAGGGGTCACAAGTTTTTGAAAAAATAGACACATACAAAATTAATTTATCACACAACACAAAGTTGCTCTGGTTGAGAATAGGTGACAAATTATATTATGTAAAGGTGTGTATTATACGTATAGATATCATATTTGGGGCCATTTCTGAGACTGGATGAAGTCTGTTCCACTTCTAACAAAGACTTCTATCTCATTGAATTTAGGCATGACAAATGATAGCAAAGAGAAACATAATCAAATAGGGCTGAATGGAGGTCCTGTCAAAGGAATAAAAACAGACTGACAGACCAAGCCAAACCATCACTGAGAGCTATTTTGACCCTGGGCACTATTATAGAATAGTCCTGAGGAAATGCACTGAAAAGAACTAAATGTCCATTAAAGTACACATACACACACACATTATGGTGTTTAATCCTACCAGATAATTAATACAAAACGAGAGAGTTGGCGTAATATCTATTATCTGTTCTCTCTACAAGTCCACATTGTTTATCATTTCTCTTATTCTTGACAGACCAATATCTGCTTTAGAAAACATGTTCTCCCAAATCAAACCACTCTGGCTGAAATGAGTATACAGGTGTCAATCCAAGTAATTAAAGTGCAGAAACTGAGTTTGGCACTTCAGGTTTTGCTGACTTCACTTTTTACTGAACTTACTTGTCTTTTGCCAATACTCATCTACTTTGAAATACACGCCAAGTAAATTATTAAATATTTAATTTGACCAAATAACATCTAAATAGTTGATTTTATACCGTAATACCAAAAATGGGGTGATCCTGATTTGTAAAACTCACTTTGGGCATAAATATTGATTAAACTATATCACTACTATTTATTGAAAGGCTTCCATTATGCATTTGGAGACCCGATGGCACAGTAGTTAAGAGCTCAGCTGCTAACCAAAAGGTTGGCAGTTCAAATTCACCAGCCACTCCTTGGAAACCTATGGGGCAGTTCCACTATGTCCTATATAGTTGTTATGAGTCAAAATTGACTCGATGGCAACCAGTTTGGTTTTTGAATATGCATTAAATGCTGAATAAAATATGGAACTTGAAAAATGCACACTGAAAATATGTATCGGTAAGGAACAAAGCACAAATCTCTATAAAGTAAGTGTTTTAAAATATGCACTAAGGGGAAATGAGGTAAAGAAGATCTATTTGTGCTAAAAGGTCCTGAAGACAGCATTAAAGCTTTTAGAATCAAATATGCAAAAAGCAAGCACCACAGGAAAATGAAAGAAGGGTGAGATTGGAAATAAACAGTATACAGATGAAAGGAAGAATCAAACAGGACTGTGTTGATAAATGTCAGTGTTGTTACTTTTCTACCAAACAACACCATTTCTTACAGTGAATGGAAAATCGGGCAGACAATGCTATCCAGGTACAAACCCCACCTTAACGAAGGCTGAACATGGGTGAGAACAGACTAAATCGATATGTCAGTCAATGCAACTTGGGGTTTCTAGAAATAATTTTTACTTATTATGTAAGTGCTGCATCTAAAAAGCTAAAAAAATTTGGATTCTGTTCTCAATACAACAAAATACGTTAAACATTTTTATGTAAAACTGCAAGTTAAGAAAAAAAGAGGCTGTTTATTACAGATATCAACTGAAAATATAAGAGTAGGGTAACTCAGAATAATAGCATTTCTGATTTAAAAAATTAGCACTTGGTATAAAACCATAAATTAATGAAAAAGGCATAGGTAAAACCAAAAACCCTATAAATAAATTCTCATTCTAAAATACAGCATTTAAGATGATTTAAATAGTCATAGCATTAGATAAAATTAAGAAAAAAGTCAATGGACTAGCATTAAACACGCAAAATATATAACCATGTCAAATGATACCTTTTTTCAATATCATAATACTGATTATTAACCTCCAAGTAAGTTCATCCCTTTCCCTCAATCAACTCACCCAACATTTTCTGCATCTTCATCACACTCAGCTTTATATTTGCAAGGTCCACACTTGGAGTGTTTTCTGTGAACTTCTGTCCCAGACGCTTCCTCTTCTGCTTAAAAAGAAAAATTAGATTTTGATCTTTCATTGCTAGAAAATTATATAACACTATGACATATATTGAAGTCATCTTGTTTCTGAAATATAAGTAAATCATTTATGCTGCACAAATAAAGTTCTTTCTATTAAGGAAAATTAGATTTTCAACCAAAAGTTAGGATCTTTTCCAGATGTGTTTCATGTTTTCAGTAGCCATTATCCTGCTTCTGGGGAAAATGGTACCCAAGTTCTTGAAAATATTCACTTCCAAAATCTATCACCGCTAAGTCCAAAAATATAGTATTGCCAATATAGAGTACAGCATATTCTCTCAGGAAAAACAAGTACTGGTGCTAGAAAAATAATCTCTTAAACTGTGTACCCAGGAACAATTCAGTAGGTTTTGATAACTAATTGCTTTTAAAAGAATTACCACATAACATTAAATAAGAGAGAAAAGAATGAGCAATAAATTTAGTCCAGAAGGAACCTTTTGACATAAGTCTGTGGAATGCTGGTTAGCAGATAACGCTTGAACACAGCAGAGTATAACCATCACCCTTTCCTCACATCAGTTTCACACGTGCTTTTTCACTACAGAAGAATTAATGGCAGACTTAAAAGAAATATTTATCTCCAAAAATTAAAAGGAAAGAGGTCTCTCTACAAAGCATGTGTTCCTTTTTTCTACTGTGCCACTTACCACAGCCAAAAATACTTTGATGCGGGAATGTGTGGGTCTCCTATGATCCAGCATGAAAAACAGTTGAGTACCATGAACCCCCAACTCAGCTCACATCCCACACATAAGGGGGCCCTATATTTGTGGGTTTTGACCAGAGTGAATCTTATCCAGAGAATCTCAAACTAGGCAGAGAGATCAGTTCTGAGGCCAATTAGCAATTTCTGTTTATTCGAGGGATTTCCCAATTTGGTTATGGAAAGAACACCATTAGGGCTCTCAATCAGTAAAGAAGGCATCAAAATAAAGGACACAGACCTAACATACCTGTTTGGTAATACTTTCATGTTCCTAATTTTTGGAGTCTGCCTGCACTTTAAGTAGAAATCATGCCCAAGCACTCATAAATACTCCCAAGTAGATTCCACAGATCATAATCCCAGGTATTTCTGAGGCCGCAGAAACCTCCTGTGATCCAGGAGTACCAAAGTCACCATGAGCTCAATAGTTTGTACTCTCATCTTATCACACCACTTAGCCTTGCTAACACATACTCCCTAAAAATATGGTCTACCTACATCCGCAGGGCAAGGCATCCCGTATTGAACTATATATTAAATCTTGAGATCAACTTTCACTTCTTTAAAATATGAATAACGATCAAGCAACATCTAGCTCAACTGGCATAACACAGTTTATAAAGAAAATGTTCTACAATCTACCTTGGTGAGTAGCATGTGGGGTCTTAAAAGCCTGTGAGCAGCCATCTAAGATACTCCACTGGTCTCACCCCTTCGGGAGCAAGGGAGAATGAAGAAAACAAGATACAAGGGAAAGACTAGTCCAAAGGACTAATGGACCACAACTACCACAGCCTCCACCAGACTGAGACCAGTACAACTAGCTGGTTCCCGGCTACCACCACTGACTGCTCTGACAGGAATCACAACAGAGGGTCCCAGACAGAGCTGGAGAAAAATCTAGAACAAAATTCTAACTCACAAAAAAAAGACCAGACTTACTGGCCTGACAGAGACTGGAGAAACCCCGAAAGTACGGCCCCCAGCACCCTTTTAGCTCAGTAATGAAGTCACTCCCGAGGTTCACTGTTCAGCCAAAGATTAGACAGCCCCATAAAACAAAATGTGACTAATGGGGCACAACAGTCCAGGGACAAGGACCAGAAGGCAGGAGGGGACAGGAAAGCTGTTAATAGGGAACCCAAGGTTGAGAAGGGACAGTGTTGATATGTCATGGGGTTGTTAACCATTGTCATAAAACAATGTGTACTAACTGTTCAATGAAAAACTATTTGTTCTGTAAACCTTCATCTAAAGTACAATTATATATATATGAATAATGACAGTTTCCTAACTGAGTATCATACCAGAAGGGCTAGATCACAGGATCTCCTAAAATCCTTTCCAGCTCTAAGATCTAGAATTTATGATCTGTTCCTTCACATGTGATCATTAAAGTTCTGCTTGAACATATTAGGTTTAAATTAAATTAAAATTGTTGAATGGCTTTTTTTTTAGCTGTAACTGTCATCCTCAAACTTATTCTTCATAACAGTATTTCTGTTCTTTATAACCAAAACCAAACCAGTTGCAGTCCAGTCAATTCCAACTCATAGGGACCCTACGTGTTTCAGAGTAGAACTGTGCTCCACAGAGTTTTCAACGGCTATGATCTTTCAAAAGTAGATGGCCAGGCCTTTCTCCTGAGGCACCTCTGAGTGGATTCGAACTGCCAACTATTCAGTTAGTAGCTGCATGCTTGACCATGTGTGTCACCCTGGGACTCCTTTTCTGTTTTCTAGATAACCTTTAACATCCCTCCCAACTCAAATTTTAGGATTCTATGAAACCTTAAGTAAGGTTACAGATAGTGTTGAAAGGATAATACCTATAGTTTTCATTTGTGCAAGTGTGAATTTTACCTGTAGTTAAGTCTTCTTTTAGTGTATCCCCACAGTATCTAAAATTAGTTTGCATACAGTGAACACTCATTAAGAATTATAGTCTCAACAGACTATGGAATAAATCAATCATTCTCAATTCTGATAGTTTAAACTCTATTACATGCTATTACCAAATCATTTTTTTAATATCAAAAATATTTAATTTTTTCATTTGTAAAATAAAAACATAAATAGGAAAATTTAAAAGTTTTTAAATTAACATCTAGATACCACTAGAGCTGTTCTGCATGTCTTCTCTTTTCTATGTACAACTCACTCTAGGGCTTTGCTAACCCTGTGCCCTGTAAATTCCTTATGAGCAAAACTCTGGGAAGAAGGGGTAGGGGAGAGTTATAAACACTCTGCTCCAAGCTAAAATCACTTACAGGGATGATCCTAAGTGCATGGCATTTGGGTGCAATCTAATTTTAAGAGGAGCTAGAACATTTTCCCCTTAGACTGACAACAAACCTTCAGTGGAAAAAAAAAAAAACTTCATGAGACAAAGAATGCCTAGGGCTGAGGGGGACAGAAGGATGGGGAGTAAAAACTAAGGAAGACAAAGTTTCTTTCTGGGATAACGAAAGTATTCTAAAATTGATCGTGGTTATTGATGTACAACTCTGTAATAAACGAACATACTGTAATATATACTAATAAACCATAATATGTTGAATATACTAAAGCTATTCAACTGTATACCTTAAATGGGTGAATAGTATGGTATGTGAATTATATCTCAGCAATGCTGCTAAAGAAAGAAAACAAATGTCCTTTAAGAGGTCCTTGAAACTTACCTCCTTCTCCAGATCCAGAGCCATTATCTGAGAATGAAAAAAAAAAGAATGAATATAAACAATTTTCCTGAAAGTTTCGTCTTATCAAATAGTAAAATTTCTTATCACATATCCAACTGGATATCCCTTTTCTCTTTTTTCTGATATCTAACAGTTTATTCTAATATACCTATTTTATGCCTCTCTCAGAATATGAATTCTAGAATACATGATCATCTACGTCTCATCCAGAAAATATCCAAGTGACTTACACAGAAAAAGACCAATAAAATATCCTTAAATAAATGGATAAATATAAATATTTTTAATTCACTCATTTAAGAGGTAGAAAAAAAATTTAATTTTCTTAAAACTTTAGAGAAATGATGAATAAGCTGTTTTTACTAGAAAGGAGAAAAGAGAGTTTTAGGTCTTGCTACAAAAATCTTTATGAAATCTGTGGATAAAAACCAAAGGCCAAAAGGTACAAAAAGCCCCAAGGCTTAGAAGGAAAGAACCTCTGGATTGAGTTTTTGAAAGTAATCTCCTCTGGGAAACCTAATCAAAAGGAAGCTCACCAAGGTGTAGGCTGGAGACTTGCTACAAGTGAAATTAAAGAACTTCACTCAAAGTTACCAGAAAGAAGGCAGCCTAAAACGTAATTAATGTAAAATACTCATTTTATAACTCTAGGAAAAAACAAGTACTACAGAGCATGTTGAAACAAAGTAGAAGTGGCTGTACTATCAGCATGGAGGTGCAAAAAAGCAGGGATGACAGGTGAAGTACTTGATGCTTTATCCAGCACTTTCCAGGGGAGATGACACCCTGATCCTAGAGAACCCATTCCAGTTCTTCAAATAGTTCTCTACACTGGGAGACACACCCACTGTAATATTGCTCCCTTCCCGTCAAGCCTCTTCAGATGATAATCAAGTCCCAGATATGGCGGGAACAGCAGGAATTGGAAAAATATACATTTTATGTATTACCATTTGCAAAATCCTCATGGAGTTTTATCAAAAAACTCACTGCTGTCGAGTCGACTCCAACTCATAGTGACCGTATAGGACAGAGCAGGACCACCCCATAGGGTTTCCAAGGAGCGCCTGGTGGATTCAAACTGCGGACCTTTTTGGTTAGCAGTTGAACTCTTAACCACTATACCACCAAGGTTTCCCAGTAAGTCTTAATTTACGTTCAAAAGTAGTACTTATAAATTTTTGAAATTAGACCTTCTAAATTTTTCTTCATTATAATCCTATCATTCCAGACTGAAAGGACCTAAGAACTACACGAGTATGATTTAGTGAAAAGAAATGGGCTTTGGTAGGAAGAAAGACAACAGAGATAGATGCATCTACAGGCCCAGGAACGCCAAGGATAGACTTCTAGCCTCCCTAACTATGAGAAAATAAATTTCTGTTCTCCCCTCACCCAAACAAAAAAAAAGAAACAGGGTTTGAAGTCAAACCTGGCTTTGGGCTTTGGAGTCAGACAGACTTGGTTTTAATCCTTGATCCTGTTGTGGATCCATAGACAATATATTTAGATACCATCCCAAGCCTTAGTGTCTTCGTGCATTAAAAAAAAAAAAAAGAATAAATAATGCCTACCTTGCAAATTTACCCTTGCAGTTAAATGAGGAAAAAGTATGTGAAAGTCCCTACCAGGTTGCTCAGTATACATTAGGTCCTCAATACATATTTACTGAATATTGAATAGTGTCACATATAACGTTCTTTTCTTCAAGTATGGATCTCACCATGCCTTTGCTTGAACATCTCCTGAGACAGAGAACTCACTACTTACCACAGCCATTCCCTTCCATATTTAGACAGTTCTATTTATTAGAACATCCTTTCTTATACCAAACTGAAATCTACCTCACTGTAACTCCTGCTCATTACTCCTTATTCTGTCCTCAAACTTCATATCAGCTCTCCTTTTCTTTTTTCATCTTTTAAGCATCCAATTATTACTGAAGAATTAACATAAAAGAAAAAACATTGAAAACAGAATGCTAAGTGAAAGGAGCCAATCACAAAGAACCACCTAGTGTATGATTCCATTTATGAGAAAGGATCAGAATAGGCAAATCCACAGAGACAGAAAGCAAACTGGTGCTTACTGAGGGGTGAAGGAATGGGAGGAAATGCAGAGTGACTGCTAATGGGTACAGAGGTAATTTTTGAAGTCACAAAAATGTTCTAAAATTGATTGTGGTGATGGTTACACAATTCTGTGAATACACTAAAAACTTTAAATGAGTGAACTATATCTCAATTAAGCTGTTATATATTTTAAAAAAGATAAAAAAGTAGAAAGTGACAACAGGCTGGTACTGAAGGTGTCACAATCTTCCCCTCCAGGAACCTAACCTCTATCAGCCCCAGAATGTCGTTAGGTGCCATCGAGTCAGCTCCTACTTATAGTGACCCTATATACAATGGAAGAAACACTGCCCAGTCCTGCACCATCCACACAATTCTTGCTATGTTAGAGCCCGTTTCTGCAGCCACTGTGTCAGTCCATCTCGTTGACGGTCTTCCTCTTCTTTACTGACCCTCTACTTTACCAAGCATGATGTCCTTCTCCAGGTCTGTCCTGATAACATGTCCAAAGTACATGAGATGAAGTACCGCCGTCCTCTCTTCTAAGATAGATTCGTTCATTCTTCTGGCACTCCATGGTACATTCAATATTCTCTGCCAACACCATAATTCAAAGGCATCAATTCTTCGTAGGTCTTCCTTACTCATTGTCCAGCTTTCGCATGCATATGAGGCAACTGAAAATACCATGGCTTGGGTCAGGCACACCTTAGTCCTCAAGGTAACAGCTTTGTTTTTCAAAACTTTAAAAAGGTCTTTTGCAGCAGATTTGCTCGATGCAATGCGTCATTTGATTCCTTGACTGCTGCCTCCATGGATGTTGATTGTGGATCCAAGTAAAATGAAATCCTTGACAACCTCAATCTTTTCTCCATTTATCATGATGTTGCTTATTGCTCCAGTTATAAGGATTTTTGTTTTCTTTATGTTAAGGTGTTATCCATACTGAAGGCTGTAGTCTTTGATCCTCATCAGTAAGTGCTTCAACTCCTCTTCTCTTTCAGTAAGCAAGGTTGTGTCATCTGCAAACTGCAGGTTGTTAATGAGTCTTCCTCCAATCTTGATGCTCCGTTCTTCATATAGTTCAGCTTCTCAGATTATTTGCTCAGCATACAGATTGAGTAAGTGTGGTTAAAGGATACAATCCTGACATATACCTTTCCTGATTTTAAACCACGCAGTATCCCCTTGTTGTGTTCGAATGACTGCCTCTTGGTCTATGTACACATTCCACATGAGCACAATTAAGTGTCCTGGAATTCCTATTCTTTGCAATGTTATCAATAATTTGTTATGACCCATACAGTCAAATGCCTTTGTATAGTCAATAAAACACCGGTAAACATCTTTCTGGTAGTCTCTGCTTTTAGCCAAGATCCATCTGACATCAGCAATAATATCCCTTGTTTCACGTCCTCTTCTGAATCCAGCTTGAATTTCTGGCAGTTCTCTACTGATGTACTGCTGCAACAGTTTTTGAATTATCTTCAGCATAATTTTATTTGCATGTGATATTACTGACATTTTGTTCAATAATTTCCACATTCTGCTGGATCAACTTTCTTTGGAATAGGCACATATATGGATGTCTTCCAGTCGTATGGTCAGGTAGCTGTCTTCCAAATTTACTGGCATAGACGAGTGACTGCTTACAGTGCTGCATCTGTTTGTTAAAACACCTCAATTGGTATTCCATCAATTCCTGGAGGCTTGTTTTTTGCCAATGCCTTCAGTGCAGCTTGGACATCTTCCTTCAGTACCACTGGTTCTTGATCATATTGCTACCTCCTAAAATAGCTGAACATCAACCACTTCTTTTTGGTATAGTGACTGTATATTCGTTCCATCTTCTTTTGATGCTTCCTGCATTGTTCAATTTCTTGCCCATAGAATCCTTCAATACTGCAACTCAAGGCTTGAAGAAATCGAAGATGAAGAAAAGATCTGTACCAACTTCTGCAGTCTGAAAATGACCAAACATGAAATGAAGATGCATTGATAATTACTGGTGATTGGAATGAGAAAGCTGGAAACGAAGAAGGATCAGTAGTTGGAAAATATGGCCTTTGTGACAGAAATGATGCTGGAGATCGCACGATAGAATTTTGCAAGACCAACGACTCCTTCATTGCAAATACCTTTTTTCACCAACGTAAACTGTGACTATACACGTGGACCTCACCAGATGGAAAACACAGGAATCAAATCAACTACATCTGTGGAAAGAGACTATGGAAAAGCTCAATATCATCAGTCAGAACAAGGCCAAGGGCTGACTGTGGAATAGACCATCAACTGCTCATATGTATGTTCAAGTTGAAGCTGAAGAAAATTAAAACAAGTCTACAAGAGCCAGCGTATGACCCTGAGTATATACCACCTGAATTTAGAGATCATTTCAAGAATAAATCTGATGTACTGAACACTAATGACTGAGGCCAGACAAGTTGTGGGACGACATCAAGGACATCATACATGAAGAAAGCGAAAGTCATTAAAAAGATAGAAAAGAAAAAAAAAGACCAAAATGGATGTCAGAAGAGACGCTGAAACTTGTTCTTGAATGTGGAGTAGCTAAAGAGAAAGGAAGAAATGAAGAAGTAAAAGAGATGAACAGAATATTTCAAAGGGTGGCTCAAGAAGACAAAGTATAGTAATATAATGAAATATGCCAAGACCTGGAGTTAGAAAACCAAAAGAGAAGGACATGACTTGGCATTTCTCAAGACAAAAGAACTGGGGAAAAAATTTAAGCCTTGAGTTGCCCCAAAATAGGCAACACAAATCTCCTTAACTCTCTTACGCATGCAGGTAGACAGCTCAGTGAGCTCTCTCCAGTAGGAAGTAGTTTTTTTCTTGTTCCAATGTATTCCCAACTGTGAAATGTAACTGATTCTTTTGTCTGCACCGAGTTAAAGTTCGAAATGTTTGGAATCTAACTCAGCCCTGTCCTCACAATCCTACACTGTTTAAGAGACCAGGCACGAGGGGCATTGAGGGTTCACTATGAATTTTGACCAATCAACCATAAAATTATATCTTCTGTGAGTAAGGAAGGAGGAAATAAAAGAAAAGCAGAAAAGAAAGAGGAGGAGGAAGAAAACACAATTTAAAATTATTTTTATGACCAAATTTTTCTTAGTAGAACATTCCTTTCTTCTTTTTATTCTACATACATTGATTGCGTACATATTAAATGCCACGCACTAGCGTAAATGCTCAGAATAAAACGATAAATAAGACTAGTTCTAGTTAATGAGATACTCTCAAACTACTTTTTCTATTTTAACCCATGTGCAATTTTAATAGATATAAAAATTTCGAACCTTCCTTTAGGCTCATTTAAAACTCCTAAATATTGTGAATACTTTGATAATGAGGTTGAGTTCTTCTTGTAGATTATATTTTCACTGTACACATACCTTCCCCAGCTCACACAATCTTACCCCAATCCTAAGATTATGACATAGCTCCCTGTTGAGAATCACTGATCTGGCTGGAGATAGATGTGTCAAATAAATGAAATACACTATAGTACATACATGGAGATATGTATAAAGCACACTGGTGACAAAGAAGGGATAAACAACTCTGCTGGGAGAGAAGAGTGGCTGTCACAAAACAAAGAATTCACAGAGGAAAAATGCTTAGACCCAATCTTAAAGCCTAAAACAGGAGTTTTCAAATAATCAAAAGGGGAATGGTATTCTAGGTACAGGGATTATCAACCATAAAAGCCCAAAGGACATGAAATCGACTGGCCCATTCAGCAAATAACAAGAAGTTCAATCAGTACTAAACCTTATAGCTTAGCTCATTCAATCCTTATATAACAACCCTTGGAGATGATGACATCCATTTAACAACTAACAAACTGGGGCTCAGAGATGTTAAGTGACTTATCTAAGGTCATACAGTAAATAAGAGCTAGAGTATTTTAAGCCAGGTCTTTGAATCCCAGTGCAGTGCTCTGTCCAATCTACCACCTTGTTTCTTAATGCTTAACATTCACTGCCTATCAAAGCAGTTGGTGTCTTAAAACATGTGTTGCTCACAGACGATGCATAATTAATTTGAGATTGTAAAGAACTCCATATTTCTCTTCAGTTTCTAGGTCAAGTTCTGTGAAACACAATCCACTTAGAGAAGTATATAAGAACTACACCAAATGATAGACTACAGGCCTAAAAATATAATTATTTCTCTAAGCATCTAATTATTTAGTAAAAGGGAGAACTTTTGAGCACTGTAATATATACAGAAAAAGAAAGTAAATGGAATAGATTATATAAGAATATTATCTGCCTTTACTTCTAACCTCCATACAATAATTCTAACTATAATAACCTCACCTGCATCCTTGCCCTCAAATATAAAATAAGAAACAAACATTAATGCCTTCCAAAACCAACCAGTATCAATTCAAAAAGGAAAAGAGAAAAAAGTAAATACAAACAACTGTGGGCAGAGGAGGGGTAGGGGGACAGGCAGGAAAAAAGAAAATACAAAAAGAGAAGAGTTTGGAAAGAAAGAACATCCTGGAATGTCACTAATGGCTTTCTATGGATATTCCCCATCCCTTCCCCAAAAAACCATCAGTAAGAGAGATCCCATATTATTCCCCATCCCAAATTTTACTCCGTGTAATATCAAACCATAGGGAAAGGACATGCAAAGTCCCCACAAAAAAAGCATTAAGCCTGAAAAATGCACTGACAAGTAACACAGTACAAGACCACCAGGGGTTAAAAAGCAAGAACATGAAAAGGGGCAAAAAAGAGCTTCCCCCAGTTCACGCACAATCATCACCAATCCAAGCAGGAGTTTTCTCTTGGGAAACTGAACTCTAACTGGAAACTTCCCTTTAGAAAATATGGTGAAACCATTTCCAACATGTATTCAGAATATCATACACATACCAGAGTAGCACGGTCCTCTTGCTACTACTGTTATCTCTCTCTGGTGCTTACAAGCAGCCCTTCTGAGAAAGCATTCATTTTGATAAGTGTCCCCATTTGATCCACAGACGGGAATGTAATTTGTATGGCACTGCAAAAGAAACAAAAATAAATTCTCAGAACTAGGCATGAATATTAATAAATTTATTTCATATTCATGAATGCAATACCATAGTATTTTGACATACTTCTACTACAGAATAGTTTATTCTTTCCTTTGGTTCAACAAACAAAGAGTTAAGCTACTTCTTCACACATTTTTTCACATTTATAATGAAAATAACTATCAACTATCCATAAAAATGAGAGTGAAAATCCCCATCCTATCTACTTCATTTGCTTGCTGTGAAGACCCAGTGAAATAAAATAAGAGGAAATTCTTGGTAATGTTTATAAAGAGCTTTATTTATATAATGTCATTTTATTATTATCAAAATTCATTTATTCAATAACTCTAGCATGCAGAGTCTCAAGATAAATGCTACAGAAGACACAAATATAAGACATGATACCTGCTCTCAAAGACCTTACAATCTTGTTAAAGAGATAAATATAAATAGAGGAAAAAATATATTGTAAAACTAAATCATGTACCAAATCAACTGTATAGTATAATGCCTAATACCTACTATTGCAAGCTGGAATATTCAAGAAAAGCCTCCTCAGAAAAAGTGGAATGTCAAAAAAAGATCAGACTTACTGGTCTGACAAGAGACTGGAGGAACCTCCGAGACTATGGCCCCCGAACACTCTGCTAACTCAGAAGTGAAACCACTCCTGAAGCCCACTTTCAGACAAAGATTAGACAGGACTATGAAACAAACAGTAATACACATGAGGAATATGCTTCTTAGCTCAATCAAGTATATGAGGCCAAATGGGCGACTTCTGCCCAAAAGCAAGACGAGAAGGCAGGAAGGGACAGGAACTGGATGAATGGACACAGGGAATCCGGGGTGCAAAAGGGGAGAGTGCTGTCACATTGTGGAGATTGCAACTAATGTCACAAAACAATATGTGTATAAATTTTTGAATGAGAAACTAACTTGAGCTGTAAACTTTCACCTAAAGCACAATAAAATATTAAAAAATAAAAAGTGGAATGTGAACTGCGCCTTGAAGGATAAATAGAAATAAGAGTAGGAAAAAAAAAAAAGGTGATACAGGTTTGATAAACAGCATTGCACCCACATGGTTAAAACTGGTAAGTATACACATATTGGTAAACATTTTTTTATAATTTTATTTTTTGTTGTTGGTGTTGAGAATATACACAGCAGAACATATGCCAATTCAACAATTTCTACATGTACAATTCAGTGACATTGATTACATTCTTCAAGCTGTGCAACCATTCTCACCCCACTTTTCTGAATTGTTTGCCCCCCATTAACATAAACTCACTGACCCCCAAGGTTCCCATCTAATCTTCCGAGTTGCTGTGATCAATTTGATCCCATATAGAAGTTCTTAAAAAGCACAATGCTCAAGGCACATATTCTTTACTAGTTAAGCTAAACTACGTTTGGTTTAAAGAAAGCTTCAGAGGATATTTTTGGTTTAAGATATAAAGATTAACTCAGGGCAATAGTTTCAGGGGTTCATTCAGCTTCCATGGCTCCAAAAAGTCTGGAGTCCATGATAATATGAAATTCTGTTCCACATTTTCCCCCTTTTGATTAGGATTCTTCTGTAGAATCTTTGATCAAAACATTCAGTAATCCACTGAGTGGTCTGACAGGGATCACAACAGAGGGTCTCAGACAGAGCAGTAGAGAAATGTAGAACAAATTCTAACTCACAAAAAAGACCAGACTTACTGGCCTGACAGAGACTGGAGAAACCCCGAGAGTATGGTCCCTGGATACCCTTTTAGCCCAGTAATGAAGTCACTCCAGAGGTTCACCTTTTAGCCAAAGATGAGACAGACTCATAGGACAAAATGAGACTAAAGGGGCACACTAGCCGAAGGGCAAGGACTAGACGGCAGGAGGGGACAGGAAAGCTGGTAATAGGGAACCCAAGGTCAAGAAGGGAGAGTACTGACATGTCATGGGGTTATTAACCATTGTCATAAAACAGTATATGTATTAACTGTTTAATGAGAAGGTAGTTTGTTCTGTAAAACTTCATCTAAAGTTCAATAAAAAAAGAAAAAAAAATTCAGTTAATGGTAGCCAGGCACCATCCAGTTCCTCTGGTCTCATGGCAAAGGAGGTAGTTGTTCATGAAGGCAATCAGCCACACAGTTCATTTTTTTCTCCTATTTCTGACTCTCCTTCTCCCTCTGTTGCTCTAAAATATGGACAGACTTTAAAGAAGGTTCATATAGGGAAACAGAATCCTAAAATTACTTGGCCTAAGACCGACGATACAGATCATATGTAAGACGAGGATGGAAAAGTAAGCAGGAGTCAGATCATGACAGTTTTTTTTGTTTTGTTTTAATACCATGCCAAGGAGTCTATATGTCATCTTCTGCAGAATAAGAACTACTGAGAATCTCTGAACAAAAGAGTGACATCATCAACATTATCCTCGTTAATTATTCTTACATTTAAAATAGTATTCTATTATGTACAGTTCTTTTTAGACACAACAGATATCTTATTTTTGACACTACGAATGCATACATATCCCCAAATGTATATTCAAAACATTATCTAATGTGCTTTAAAAAGGAAAAAGGAAACTCCCCTCAGTGTGGAATCCAGCCATTTTTCAGATATTACCATTCTGGTTGCAGGGACACTGGCAAGCCTGGCTGGAGTACCAACATCACTGTCAGGAACTAACTATCCTCCTCTGTGGGCTCAGGCCAGCCTATACTTCGATCATTTATTGTTTTATTCTAGGCACACTATGGCTACAATCCCGAACCTAGATAATGTGTCCCCAAATTAAAATAAGATGCATATTTTTTTGTAAATACAGCATGACCAAGTAGGATTTACTCCAGAAATACAAGAATAATTTTATGTTAGATTACAGGTGGAAACCTATATAATTAAATCCACGAGTCCTAAAAGTCATTTTATGAATAAACTATGTTACTCAACTGTACTGGTTTCCTGTGGCTGCTACAACAAATTAGCAAATTTGATGACTTAAAACAACAGATATTTATTCTCCCACAACTCTGGAGGCCAAAAGTTCAACATCAGTACCACTGGGCTGTGTTCTCTCTAGAGGCTCTAGAGAAGAATCCACTCCTTGCCTCTTCCAGCTTCTGGCAGTTATTGACATTCCTTGACTTGTGGGCACATCACTCTGATCTGTCTCCATGGTCACCTTCTGTGTATCAAATCTTCCTCTACCTCTCTCTTATAATGACACTTTTGATAGCATTTAAGGCCCACCCAGATAATCCAGGATAAGCTCTTCCTCTCAAAATCCCTAAATTAATCACATCTGCAAAAACTATGGTAAGGTAACATTTAGAGGTTCCAGGGATTAGGACGTGATCATATCTTTGGGCCTCCATTCAGCCCAGTACATCAAGCATGAATATTTTTTAATTTTTTTGAAATATAATATCTATAAAAAGTACAAGAATGGTTAAGAGTTCAGTTCAATTAATTTTCCACAAAGTAGGCACAAACATAATCAACACCCTGATCAATAAACAGAACATAACCCCCTGAGTATTCTCCATGCCTCTTCCCAATGATTACCTCCCCCCAAAAAAATCCACTACCCTGTCTTCTAACACGTTAAATTAGCTGTGCCTGTTTCTGAACTTTACATAAATGGAATCATACTTCATACACGCTTTTGAATTCTGCCTTTTCAATCAATATTGTTCTGTGATTCATTTGTGTTGCTGCATACAGCAATAGTTCCATCCTCACTGCTGTAGAGTATTCCATTGTCCGAAATATAGCACCATTCATTTATCTATTCTACTGTTGGACTTTTGGGTTGTTTCCAGTTTGGGGTTCTTCCAAATAATGCTATTAAGAACATCCTGCACATCTTTTAGCGAAAATACATATATACACACAGAGAGACAGATACACACACACACACACACACACACATTTATTTATTTATTTCTGTTAGGTATATATCCAGGAATTTATGGATCACAGGACATGTATTAACAATTTTAGAATATACTGACAGTCTTCCAAAATGGTTGTGCTAATTTAAACATCTGTCAACAGTGTTTCAGTTGCTTCACGTCCTCACCAGCACAGTATTTTCTGTATGTTTCATTTTAGCCATTCTTATAGGTATGAGTGGGATCTCACTTAATTTATAGTCCGATGACTAATATTCTTGTGTATAATTTTCTGTATTTCTCAATTTTTCCATAATTAACAAGATTTACTTCTATTATTCATCTACTTTTTAAAACATAGTCAGATTTACTTCATGAAGCATAAATATGGTATGCCACCACATGTCAAGCACTGGTAAAACAACTTCTAACTAATAAAATATTTTATGAACAAGTTGATTTTGCTATGCATTTGGCATCAGCAGAATGGTATATCAACTTAAATTAAAATTAATTTTTTTCTTTGGGAGCCTTCCTATATTCCTCCAATTTTTCATGGATCACACTCCTTTTTTCTCTTTCCTTTAAATTTACACAATAACGTGTATGATGCGTGCCCAAGTCAATGTTACTCTGTACAAAGCATAATGAGCAAAGGAGAGTATAAGCTCTAAGATAATCAAGTGCGTAGTCTACACACTCTTCAACCCAACTCTTCACTCAACAAAGGCTCAATGATGTTAATGTAGTGCTCTCAAAAATGCCAATATCGCCCCTTAGGGTGCCCCCGTGGAGGCATTTTTGGTAGTCACAATGATAAACCAACAACCAAGCAGTTGCTGTTGAGTCAATTCAGACTCACGGCAAACCACAATGACAGAGGGACATTACTATCATTTAGCAGGTGAATTCCAAGGATGCTAGATGTACTGCAAAGGAAAGGGCAGTTCCACACAAAAAGACTTTTATGTACCTCACAATTTGTGAATGTCCTTCTGGATATTCATGTAGGAACTATGGTAAGCCTTACCATATACAAATAAGTTTGCTCTGTTATAATTTATCCTAATGTTTCTTTTTAATGTCAC